TAAGGTTGGCAGGTTGTCTGTGGGTGAGGACTAGCCTTCCTCCCAAAGTGAGGGATCATTGTCCAGGATGGGTTGTAGATCACTGATGATGCGTTGGAGAAGTTTAAGCTGAGGACTGTAGGTGATGGCCAGTGGAGTTCTGTTGGTTTCTTTTTTGGGCCTGTCTTGTAGCAGGAGGCTTCTGGGTACACGTCTGGCTCTGTTGATTTGTTTCTTTATTTCCTTGTGTGGGTATCGTAGTTTTGAGAATGCTTGGTGAAGATCTTGTAGGTGTTGGTCTCTGTCTGAGGGGTTGGAGCAGATGCGGTTGTAACTCAGCGCTTGGCTGTAGACGATGGATCGTGTGGTGTGTCCGGGGTGGAAGCTGGAGGCATGAAGGTAGGCGTAGCGGTCGGTGAGTTTTCGGTATAGGGTGGTGTTAATGTGGCCATCACTTATTTGTACTGTGGTGTCTAGGAAGTGGACCTCCCGTGTAGAATGGTCCAAGCTGAGGTTGATGGTGGGGTGGAAGCTGTTGAAATCATGGTGGAATTCTTCCAGGGTCTCCTTCCCATGGGTCAAGGTGATGAAGATGTCATCAATGTAGCATAGGTAGAGAAGGGGCGTGAGTGGACGAGAGCTGAGGAAGGATTGTTGGGGTAAGGATCACAGTCTTCCCTTAACTCACAAACCAATGATCTCTCCTTCTGCTTCAGGGAGTGTCCTTTAAAAGCTACTGAGTCCTTTTGATCGCCTCCCTTGTCGGAGAACAAATTATTTTTTTAATCTGTTTATAGCCCTTTGATCTGTTAGTTTCTAGCACTGGCAAAACAGTTGTGTAACTTTGAGTAGGTGGTAGGATCTAGGATCCTGGAAGCTAATAGCTTTTCCCATTGTCTTTCAGGTGTATGCCAGGATGTTCTTATCTGAGGGGGTCATTCTGTTGTCTTCCTGCTTGTTCTTCCAACTGTCCCCAGTGAAGGCATATAACGGGGGTTGGCAACCTTTCAGAAGTGGTGTGCCAAGTCTTCATTTATTCATTCTAATTTAAGGTTTCGTGTGCCAGTAATAGATTTTAACGTTTTTAGAAAGTCTCTTTCTATAAGTCTATAATATATAACTAAAGTATTGTTATATGTAAAGTAAATAAGGTTTTTAAAATGTTTAAGAAGCTTCATTTAAAATTAAATTAAAATGCAGAGCCCCCCCAGACTGGTGGCCAGGACCCGGGCAGTGTGAGTGCCACTGAAAATCAGCTCTCATGCCGCCTTTGGCACACGTGCCATAGGTTGCCTACCCCTGGCATATAACAAACATTGCACTAACCTTCATGTAGTTATACAGTCTATCTCCATAAATATGTCACATACAGTATTCATAAGATTATCAGATAGCAGCTCAGTGTCCACCTCATCCCCTTCATCAAATGTACCTAATTAATAACTTCTGTATAACTTATAATTCTCATTAATCTTAACTACTATATCAATCTTTCTTCTCTCTCCTCTCAAGAATTTTCAGGGCCGAACACTGATAAATGCCCTTTTGTGTTATCTTAGTATAGTTTTTTTAACTCTAATTCTGTGTTCTTGAGGAATCTCTCAATTTCCTTTCTAGAGTCAATTCATTATTAAAGATCTCCTCAGAAATACTAGGGCACAGGTTAGTTAGCATCAGTGTTCCATGGATAAAGGCCATATTTAATATGTTGGTGTACAGCAATGGTCCATTTCTGTCAGCAATTCCAGTCCCATAAACATGCATCATAGGATAGAAAAATAGTCTGTGCAGATTAAGTAAAATATCTTTTTTTAATTGCAGGTAGAGAATGCAAGGAAGCATTACAATATACAGATTTCTCGATTAACAGAAGAACTTTCTGCTCTTCAAATGGTACGTTCTGGACTGTGTTGAAAATAACTTTTATTAGTCAGAAATTTTTTTGAATACCTTTTTGTTACATGGACACATGTCCATTTGTATTTATCTATTACCGTGCACTCTATTTACAGGTATCACTGATATAAGAATCAGCTGCATATAGTGATCAAAACCACGGGGACAAAATCATTCATATATGAACCAAAATACCCATTTATAAGAATCAACCATTTTTAAGAATCGAATCATTTCAGATAAGAACATAAGTACGGCCATATTGGGTCAGACCAAAGGTCCATCAAGCCCAGTATCCTGTCCACTGACAGTGGCCAATGGCAGGTGCCCCAAAGGGAATGAACAGACAGGTTATCATCAAGTGATCCATGCCCTGTCACCCAATCCCAGCTTCTGGCAAACAGAGGCAAGGGACACCCTTCCTGCCCATCCTGGCTAATAGCCATTGATGACCCTGCCAACCTGGTGCCTCCTCAGTTTCTTCTTACCACCAGTGATGGTCGTTGGAACTGTGGCATCTTGCTCAGCAAGTTCTCCACGTTTCCCTAGCTCTTTATTTTTCTCTCTGTTTCTTATACCTTTTTAATTAGTTTTTATTTTAGTACACCTCTACCTCGATATAACGCTGTCCTCGGGAGCCAAAAAATCTTACCACGTTATAGGTGAAACCGCATTATATTGAACTTGCTTTGATCCACCGGAGTGCGCAGCCCCGCCCCCCCTGCAGCACTGCTTTACCGCGTTATATCCGAATTCGTGTTATATCAGGTCATGTTATAGCGAGGTAGCGGTGTAGTAGTTTGTAGCAGTTGGGCTGGTGGTTTTACCCTCTATCCCGACCGCTTTTACTTGGGAGGGCTTTCATGCCCAAGTCCCAGCAGTTCAAGCCCTGGAAGTCCTGCTCCAAGCCCATGCCAACGGGCGACCCCCACTGCACTTGTCTGAAGTGTCTGGGGGAGACTCACCAAACCAATAGGTGCAGGATTTGCAAAGGGTTTCACCCCAGAACCAAAAAGGAGCGAGACTTTTGCCTTAAGCAGCTCCTTATGGAGGCGGCACTTAGACCTCAGCCTCCATCAGCGCAGCAGGACCCGGCACTGAGTTCTTCAGTGCGTAGCACCCCGGTGGCAGTGGTGGAAGCGGCACCACAGACGGACTGTAGCAGAGATCCACCTTCCCCAGCGCCGAAACCGACGGGATCAACCCAGCACCGCTCCCACTCCCCGATGCAGAAGCAGCACCAGAAGCAAGGGAGGAGTCGCTCTCCATCCCAGAGGCCTGCTTCTCTGGAGCCAGCCAATGGGGCGCGTCCTTGTGAGGAGCACCCAGCGCTGAAGCCTGCGGAGACAGCACCATTGACTTTGTCCCCGCAAGGGAGACAATCAAGTCCGGTGCCTTTGGACTTCATGGCCCACATCATTGAGGAGGTGGAGCTGCCATCTGCCCCAGACACCTTTGCAGCCACAAGGGACCTCATCGCCATGACAGCGCCAAGGTCGCCTACAATTCAAGCCAAGCCTCCGGTACCACGTCATATGGCACCATCTCGAGGCAAACCAGCGATGATCCAGCCGTCGGCACTGCTGATGGAGTCCCAGCACCGCTCCAGATTGCACCAGTGCCCCCGATCGCGATGCCAATCCTCAGGTCGGTCCCCTTCACGCAGCAGGTCCCGCACCCGGCACCAGTCCCGACTCCTCCCGGCGACCCCGCATAGCCCCAGCCTCGCGGCACCGCTCCCCAGCCTTGTGGCACCGCTCGCCAGCTCAGCTCCACTGGGCGCCGCCCTGGCCCTCATGGTCCCGGTCCTTGGACTTGGGATCTAGGTATTCGGAGTGGGGTCGGCACTGGTCAAGTCATGAACACTCTGAGGTGGGGGGAGGGCTGTGGCTTGTGCAGTGGCAGGGAGCAGCTCAGTGGCCATTCTGGACCCTGTGGGCATACCACCAGGCCAAGGGTGCCCAGTCTAAAGGTTCCTGATTGGCCACCTCTGAACCGAGGGTGCCGGAGACCTCAGCTAGTTGCCCCAGCCCTAGGGGTGCTGAGGAGGTGCCGTGCTGCTGCCCCCCTCACTCCGAACCAACTCCAACTTCGGTTCCTGAGCCTGGTGGAGCAAGTCATCAGGCTCCTGAGGGGCAGGACGACCCTGTTCCCCAATTAGCCTCTTCATCCTTCTCCCCAGACGAGGCTGTCGCAGGCACTTTCATCTCTCGACCACCTCCTATAGACAGTTGCACCCACCAGGACCTCCTGCGCAGGGTGGCACACAACATGGGTCTTCAGGCCGAGGAGGTGGTGGAGTCAGAGGACCAAGTGGTTGACATTTTGGCCCCAGAAGGTCCTTCGAGGATGGCTCTGCCCCTCATCAAAACTATACAGGCCAAAATCAAGACCATCTGGCAGACTCTGGCCTCCATCCCTCCCAGAGCCAAAAGTGTTGAGAGGAAGTACTTTGTGCCCTCAAAGGGGTCGGACTACCTTTTTATGCACCTGCAGCCCTGTTAATCGGTGGTTGTGGCAGTAAAGGAGAGAGAGAGGCAGGGGCAGCAAGCCCCACCACCCAAGTCCAAGGAAGCCAAGCGCCTGGACTTGTTTGGGCGTAAAGTGTACTCTACGAGTACAAGCAGCAGGCAATTCTGAGCCAATATAACTTCAACTCCTGGAACTCAATGCTCAAGTTCAAAGAGCTTGTGCCACCTGAGTCTAGGGAGGAGTTTGGAGCCATAGTAGAGGAGGGCAAGGCCGTGGCATAGACCTCTTTACAGGCCTCACTGAGCGCTGCAGACTTGGCAGCACGCATCATGTCTTCGGGTATTGCCATGAGGTGCATCTCATGGTTGTAAGCCTCCAACATACAGCCCAAGGTTCAGCAGACAATGCAGGACCTGCTTTTTGATGAGGTGGGCCTGTTCGTGGAGCAGACTGGCTCTCAGTTGCATAGCCTAAAAGACTCGAGGCCTACTATGAAATCTTTGGGGATGCATGCCCCGGCAACCCAACGGAAGCATTTCAAGCCCCAACAGCCTCAGCGGAGCTCCTACCCTCCTCGGCCAAGGCAGGACTTTTACAGAAGAAGGGGAAGGAATGGCAGAAGGAAGCCTTCCAGCCCCCCTTCCAGACAAGGCCAGGGCCTGACCAAACCATTGTTGGGTTCCAAGCAGGCCTTTTGAAGGGACGCCCAAGGACGGCGCACCAGACTCATTCCCAGATCCTTCCCCGCCCTTTTCGAATAGTTTGTCCCACTTCTGCCGTGCCTGGTCCCAAATAACCACGGATCGCTAGGACCTCAGCACGGTGGAAGTGGGATACTCTCTCTCCAGTTCTGTTCCTACCCTCCTCCCCACCCCCTTTCCCTGTCCCTCTTCAGGGACCCCTCTCACAAGCAACTCCTTATCCAGGAGGTGCAGGTGCTCCTGACCATGGGAGCGGTGGAGTAGGTTCCTTAGGAACTAAGGTGCAAGGGATTCTACTCCCGATACTTCCTAATCCCGAAGGCCAAAGGGGGTCTCAGACCCATCTTAGATCTGCATGGGCTCCACAAATTCATGGTAAAGTTGAAGTTCCTCATGGTCTCCCTAGGCACTATTGCTCTACTATTCGGCCCCTCAACAGCCCCCCACCCCCCAAGTTTTCACCAAATGCCTGTCGGTCGTGGCTGCTTTCCTCCATCGCCAGCAGGTACAGGTATTAACCCTACCTCAATGACTGGCTGCTCAGGGGCTTCACCAGGGCACAGCGGTGGTCCAAAATTCATTTGGTCAGATGCATGTTCGAGCGGCTGGGTCTCCTCCTCAACTTGGGGAAGTTGACCCTGGAACCAACCCAGAGAATGGAATTCACTGGGGCAGTGTTAGACTCGGTCTAGGCAGAGGCACTTCTACCGGAGTCCCGATTCCGAGCCATCAAGGACATAATTCAAAGCCTCCAGCAATTCCCAACCTCAACAGCAAGGGGGTGCCTGAGTCTCCTCGGTCACATGGCTTCTTGCACTTACATGATCCGGCACGCCAGGCTACGGCTCAGGCCATTGCAGGCATGGCTCGCCTTGGCCTACCACCCAGGGCGCGACAGCTTGAATTCAGTGGTCACATTACCAGGGCAGGTCCCCACATCCCTCCACTGGTGGCTCAACTCCGAAGTGGTGTGCGGAGCGTCCCCTTCCACAACTCTCAACCTTCCTTGTCCGTGGTTACGGATGCGTTGGCTCTGGGATGGGGTGTGCATCTGGGGAACCTCCAGACACTGGGCCTGTGGTCGCAGGACGAGCTCTCTCTACATATCAACGTCAAGATGCTGAGGGCGGTGTGCCTCGCTTGCCAGGCCTTCCAGGCCCAACTGCAATGCCAGTGCGTAGCAGTTCTAACGGACAACACCAACACCATGTTTTACATCAACAAGCAAGGGGGATCCTAGTGGCGGGCAGTTATGGATTTGTTTATAAATGATACATTACGGGTGTATTTTTGACTAATGTATAATCTAACTGCCAAGCAGTAATGCAAGTAGAAGATACTAAATATTAAGTATACTAGACTTTCTGTAGGTAGGAAGGTTAAGAATTAGCATGAGACCTAGCTGAGGCCCTGTTTTTAGAATACAGTAATTACTCATTTAACGTTGTCCCACTTAACGTTGTTTCAATGTTACATCCCTGCTCAATTAGGGAACATGCTTGTTTAAAGTTGTGCAATGCTCCATTATAACGCCGTTTGGCTGCCTTCTTGTAAGATTCTGTGGAAGAGCAGCGACTTTGCAAGGGAGCATTGCACAAGTTCCGCTTCTCTGTCTCCTCCCAGCTTAGGACTTTCTGGGAGGGAGGGGGAGGAGCAGAGACACAGCTGTTTGGCGGCGCTTAAGACTTTGTGCGGGAGGGATGTGGTGTACTCTGGAGAGGAGGTGGAGTGGGGATGGGAACAGGTGGGCCTGGAGTGGAGCGGGGACAGGAAGAGGCGGGCCTGGAGCATTCCCAGCAGAATCCAAGCCTGTTCTCCAGGGAAGCTGCTGCTGCTGCAGCAAAGGTGCTTCCTAGCGTACTTGCCTGCAGTGGGCTGTGCCTGTGTAGTGTAAGCCAAGGGCACTTCCCAACCACAGTACAGTACTGTACAATATACAGTATAATGCCTTTTGTCTGCCCCCCAAAAATTTCCTTGGAACCTAACCCCCTGCATTTACATTAAATCTTATGGGACAATTGGATTCGTTTAACATTGTTTCACTTAAAGTTGCATTTTTCAGGAACATAACTATAACGTTAAGTGAGGAGTTACTGTAGGTTAGCCTACTTACTTACCCTGAGATTATAAAATTTAGCAGTATGTGCCAGGCACAAATAAGTAAATCACAAAAGAATGAGTACATTGCCAGTTGCTCAAATAGGTTTAAAACAGTGGATTTTTAGGTACTTTCTGCAGTAAGGTAAACATGGAGCTAACCACACTAATATATCAAAACTATTAAGAAATTCATTGAAGCAAATGCAATACTAACTGTCAGAAGTTAAATTATGGTTAGCTGGAATATCATGTATGGTTAACCAGAATACCACACATGGGCAAGGGCAGAAACATTGTCAACTATAATCTAAGATCTGTGTGGGAAGAATGGGAAAAGGTTTACAAGAGATGTGTCCAACCTGTTGTTGGGCACATCAGGTTCCACAAAATGGTGTAAACTGGATTGTGATGAGGTACTCCACTGGCTGTATTCTTCTATCTTTGTTTTCCACTATTCTCAGGAATTTGTGAGTATAATAATACTGAGAATTGTTCTTATTTCTGTCAATTTCTTGTAGCATTGCTTTGATATGTATGTTTATTTGGCTTTTAAGTTTATATGTATCTACTAGTGTGTGGCCAGTCCCCTTCTTAAACAATAATATTTACGTAGCCACCAGGGTAAAGAACTTGTATTAGTGACATGAGAAATTTTGCATCCCATCTCAATACCAGGCTACCGTACATATATGTAAAACTGTAATCTTTAGTGATAGGATTACATACTATTTTTCCTAAATATCCCTCCATGCCTCATTCAGGACAGAGATTAGATAGTACTCAATAAATTAGCAGGAATAAATAAGAAATGAAGTGACTCCTTTGGATCTGTACTTTTTATTTTTTTTTTGTCAGGGTGGGGACAAATTCTGTTCGCACTTATCAGGATGTTAGTACAAAGTAAATGAGATTTTGTACCAGTGTAGCTGAGAGAAGATTTGCATAGGATGTACAGTGAACATTAATAAAGGAGGAATTTGTAATGAATGAGGTTAGGAGACCAGAGGAGTTTGGATGGTGTGCAGTGAATTAGGTAAGCATTCACTCATTGACTAATGAGGATTTTAAAAAGTACCAAATACTTTCACTGTCCTATATCTAATCTATACACTGAATGAGATGGTGGCTCTGCAAGAAAAAAAAGCATAAGAAAAACCATACGTCATAATGCATGTGCAAAAATAAAGAGAACTAAGTTTGCATGAGCAACTTTTTAGCTTTAGTATTTCCTGACTTTGGAGTGTTTCCCTTTGCAGCCTTAACTTTCATTTAACACATGTTTTTGTTATTCTTTTGGTTTGATGTATTTAATGCCCTTAGAAAATGGTTTGACTTCTTATAGGAATGTGGAGACAAGCAGAGTCAAATTGAACGGGCCATTAGAGAGAAGCGAGCAGTGGAAGAAGAACTTGAGAAAGTAAGAATGCAGATATTCAGTTTTACACTTTAACTTTTCTTTATTTTATAACATTGTCTTAAGTTTCTATTTCACTATTTTCTCTAATATTATTGAGTAAAATGGGGTGAAAGAATATACCATATGCTTAGTTTTGTATTTGCTTATTTTTTGTTTAATTGTAAATCCAGTGAAGGAAATTGAAAAATACATTTTATATTTCTAATAAATTTTTGAGTTATAGTAGATTAACTGCAAAAGATGGCTCTTAGAGAATGTTTCTGAACTCCTAACTCGCTATTCAGTATATATTCAGCATAGTCATATTACCTACGTTCAGGATATGTCTCTAACTGTGGTAATAAATTCCTTACAACTATTTTAAAGGTATAAGAACCAAATAGGAGTAAGAAGTGTTTAAAATGGTCCAAAGGGTGTAAGTAGATGCAATAATGGAAATTTAAACAAAAGAAGATTTTTAGGCTGAATATCAGAAAAATTAATTAACTGCAAAATCTATAAGACTATTATCCCAGTAGTAGCAATGAAAGTCCCATTCCTTCAGTTACTGAAAACTGTGCTGGACAATGGAATGGATAACGTAATGTAGGCAGCAATACTACACTGACAGCTATCTGTGTGATAAAATGAGATTTACATGTAAGTCTATCCTTCAGATTTACCGTGAAGGCAGAGGAAGTGAATGTGATTACAGAAAACTGGAGGAACTGCACCAAAGGTGTCTGATTGCAGAGCGTACAAAAGATGACCTTCAGCTGTGTCTACAGGCGGCACGAAACAAAATTAAACAACTGGAAATGAAGTAAGTAACTGATATGTCCTCTTAATCAGTATTTCATTCAATATTTCCATCTGATCTAAGTCGTCTTGTGTCAAGTGTTTGTATTTTGTCGTAAGTTCTTATTCAGAAGTAGGAATAGTAGGCTGTCATAATCATTCTTTTTTTTAAATATGCAGCATTGGGTGATATTATAAGTGAGGATGACGTATTTTAGAACTAAACAGATTTTCTTAACAATATCAGAGCTGAAAGCAGTTCTCTTACAAAGGAAAAAAATAGAAACAATTTTTGTGGCTAATAATCCTATTTTAATTGTTAATGTTAACTGCTTGGAAAACCATTTTTTGCAAAGTATTCAGAAGAATTCCTATTTTTTAAAGTCGGCATACAGGAGGGTTTTATTAGGTCTATATAATACCAAACCACTGCACAGGACGCCTATATTATTGTTGTGGTAGCATCCAAAATGTGCTAGGTACTAGACAAAAATAAGTCCACACAATCCTTCCCCTAAAAAGTTTATAATCTAAACAGATAAAGAGATTGAAGGGTGGAGGACAGGAATACAACTTGTCTTGCTTTGCTTGCTTGCTTGTGTGTGTTGTGGAGGGTGGGAGTATTTGAAGTTCAAGTAGGGGTCAATGAATTGTGGAAAGGGATTCTGGAAGTTAGAGGGGAGTGGGGAAAAGGAATAGGAAGCTGATGGAGAGGAAGGTAGAAATAGGGAAGAGAGGAGAGTGAGGAGCAAGTAGATAGCAGGCAAAATGTGTGAGAATAATGAGATTAGTGCAGTTAGAGGTATGAGCTGGGCGCAAGATGTAGGTGGGACTAACAGAAATATAGTAAATTAGGAGAAATTATCCAGAGTAGAGCTGTGTGAATAATCACTTTTTCAGTTTGCTGGCTGAATTGGGGGTGGGTGGAGTTTTAGATCGACCCAAAACAAAAACCAAGGGGGAAAATTTTGGTTTTTTTATTTCAAGTAATTTTTTTATTAAAAGCAAAGATAAATTGGAAATGCCATTCACGAAGCCCCAGGAGGTCATGGTACAGCCCTTCCCCTTATAACTAAAGTTGGCAAAACATGATTTTTATATTTATTTATAACGTTGACTGATATGGATGTTTACTCCTTAAGCATTTTTTCTAATTTGTATCAATTTAAATTTTCACAGTTGCACAAAATTATGCATTTTAAGCATTTTTTTATTTAATATTTGACAATTATGGGAAATTAGAAGGGGTCAGACAATTATTTAATGACCGTAGACCTTGAGATTCATAAAGTAAAGCTTGGTAACTATTAAAACATAAATGGTCGACACGACGTGTCAAAATACACCAAGTAAATATTCTTAAATCAAACTCTAATTTTTCAAGCAACATTTTTCTCAATTTGCTTATCTGTACATTTTTATTACTTTTTCAGTTGGTTTGTGTATGTACAGTGAAATGGATGTTTACTGATTAAAAAAAATCTCACCCTTCCAAGTCTACTTATAACCTGTTGTCCCATGTTAGAGCACTTACCTGGGATGTGGGAAACACAGGTTCACTTTCCTATTCGGCCTGATAGGAAGCAGGGATTTGAACTTGGGACTCCCATTTTGTAGGTCAGTGCCCTAACGACTAGGCTAGAGGGTATTCTGGATTGATCTCTCGCTCTCTCTCTCTCTCCCTCCCCGCCCCCATTGAAGCTGTTCTGTTTTTTATAAATAATAGTAATTGAGCCAGAGAGAGAGAGAGAGAGAGACTGTATATCCAAGTGGTTAAGGCACTCAACTATTGGATGTGGGAGGCCCAAGTTTAAATCCTTGCTACAAATCAGGCAGAGTGGGGACTTGAAGCCCACCTGGTCTCCCACATCCCAGGTAAGTGCTGCCCCCACAAAAGTATAGAGTATAAGGGAGCACCCCACCACTGAAGTCGAGTGGCATCTAAGTCCCCTTGAAACTATTCAGCAATTTCCTGTCAAATCAACAAACAGTTTTGGTCGAGCTGAATATAAATTTTTCAGCAAATGAACTATTCAGCCAAAAAATTTTGCCCTACTATAATCCAGAGTCCAAATTTGAGTTCCGTTAGTTATTTACTTACATACTGTATTAGTAATTATTTGTATTATCATAGTGGCTAGGAACCCCAATTACAGACTAGGAACTTATGCTTGGCGCTGTACAAACATAACAAAAGACAATTCCCCCTTCTCCAAGACCTTAATGCAGGTTTCCTGAACTTTGGCCTGAACTCTCACTATCCTGTTCCCTTGTGAAGTCCAACCTTCTATATCTCAAACGCACCCATCCTTTTTAATTAATGTAGTTAATTTAACATATGATGGTTTATGTATAAGGAGTGGACATAGTTAATTTTCCATGTTCATTCAATGCTTCGCCTCTCTGAGGCTAACAAAAAGGAAATTTAAAATTGAATTAAATATTTTTGTGAATTTTTTTTATGGCTATTTGTTCCTCTTAGACATAGACATCACACACCCAGTGGAATAAAAATTAGTTTAAAAAATATTTGTACTTTAAATGTCAAGCATTAAAAAGAATTCACATGTTCACCCATCCACAAATACATTGACGTTGACAAGCATTATGAATTTTAAAAATAAGTATTTGGCCTTCAAAATACAAAATATAATTAAAGGTTTTAATTAAAAGGCACATACAAATGATAGGGAAGCTTCGAAAAATGTAGACTGAACTTGGCTTAACTCCTGAGTTGAAAGTCTAGTGAGATTTGTTTTCCCTTTTCAGCTCTGAGGAAGAGATATCTCGTTGCCAGGAAATGGTTTGCAAGCTGCAAAGCATTCTGGATTCTGAAAGAGAAAACTCTGGCTCTATGAGTGAACAAAGACTAAAACTTCATCAAGAAAATGAACAGTTGCGCAAAGAAGCAGAGGACTTGAGGAAACTGGCCATGGAGGCACAACAAAAAGCTAAATTAAAGGTACTAGCAAAACAAAAATAGTGTGTAATTATTTGGTTAAATGGGTTCCTACGAAAGATAAAATGCAAAAAACATTTCTAAGAAGAAATAGAAAAAATAGGGTTGGGAGTGACAACTTCAGTTCAGGCTTCTCAGTTCTGCCCTCCAGATACCGTTACTTGTGAAGTAACATTTCTACTGTCAGTCTTATAATTAATTCATTGTCTATTAATAAATTAAATTATACTTATTAAACAGAAGCTTCCAAATGTTCTTTTGGTGGCTTTTATAATGTGACCGGACTAAATAATAAAACATATCTGGTTATCTAACTTTAACTGGAGCCAAACTCACTACTGATTGGCAAACTGGGCTCCAGTGGAGTTATATCTGCTTGCAGCAGCAAGAGATTTGATCCCAGATCTCCAAAACAGCAAGATTAACATTAACCACTATGTTTTCCAGTGTGCGCTGAGGCATCGTCACATGCCAGTCTCTTCCTTTTCCCCTTCTCATTCTAGTTATAAGGGTTGGAACATGGTTGGAACAAGCTTGGAGAGTTGAAAGATTTGCAGGTGAAAATGTTTCAGAGAACACAGCCTTCCCTCATGAACCTTCTGTGGTTCCCCACTGAAGTATCCCAGACTGACAGGACCTGAGGAAGTCTGTCAGACTGGGATTTGACTCTGCGGTCTTAACAACTGAAGTTGGGAGGCTGAAGTATAGGCTATGAGGGGGTGGGGATAAATAAGATGGATATGGCTAGAGGCAAAAATATAAAATTCAATGGTTGTGAATATAAAGACAAGAGAAAAACTTGTCAGTTTGGAATGAAAGTTAGGGGATTAGGGAGATGGCGTATGGAGAGCCCATGGAGCTAGTTTTGTAGTGAAGACTACTTTATTTTTAACAGCTATGATAATAAAGTCAGTTAGTCTAAAAGTCACCACCTTCAGAGCACTACCCTTGATATTCAATAAGAGAGCCAGGAAAAAGTATTTAACCTTGGAGAATTTAAAACATTTAAGAAAAAGGTCAATTTGGGGGCAATAAACAATAAAATTCTTGAACACACTATTTACAAAATTCACCAAATAGTATTACATGGCTGACTAATTGGATGGAAATCAGAGGAAAACTGCTCAACTCGACTTATGTTTTTTCCTTTGTTTCCTTGGCAATTGACATGTGATCAGCATAACATACTCTGGATGTGCCATTACATTTTTCAAGAACCAGTGACTGAGTCTAATTTTCCACATAATATGGAGAACTTAAAATTTTGTGCTACATGGTAAATTAAGAAAACATTTCATGTTCATTGGTGCATTTAAGGCTCCTTGTCATAAACTGAGTGGTTAAAGGTATATTGACCAGAAGTAAAATCTCAATCATACGTTTACAATAAACCAAATGGTCCTGCCTTGTATATACTTCACTTGTATGTTTTTGCTGAAAGGGGAAGAGGATTTATGCACGCTTTTCATTACTTTACATTTTAAAACTATAAATCTCGAGTTTGCAGGATGGAAATATTTTACTGACATAACTAAATCTTATAGTTTCTTTGTGTATGTTAGGGGGTTGTTTTATTTATGTAAATAAATGGTGCTAAGATATCACAGTGCTTAATTTTTTACAATGTACAGACAAATGTTTCCAGTTTTCTTTTGAGACTTATAATATTGCATCAGCACACTTATAGAAAAGAAACTGATTTAAAAAAACTTTTAATGGAATACATAAAGTTTAAAGGTATACCGTCAAATCAAAATAGTCAGTTTAACAACAAAAAAAGTTAAAAGTACTTTCATGTACTATATCAGCCTTATGCCAATTTTCGTGGTTTCATAATCACATTTTCTAGGTTTTTAAAAATATTTCTCTCCTTTGTTTCTGTGTGAAAGACAATGTGGGGTGTGGGAGGCAGAGGTTACTCATAAAGTAACAAAACTCAAAAAATTTTCCCCCTTAATCTTTATTTTATGATAAGTTTCAATGTTACTTCTAACTACAGAAAGAGGAAAAAATCAATAGTCGCTACTGAAATAAAAAAGACTCTCTTTAATGTCACATATAACTTACACCTATAAAAAATGAGTGAATGTTTAATTCTAAAAGTGTAATGTATGTGCCAGTGGATTTGTTTGGGGGCACAAATGGAAGTGAGTTTTGTTTTTAAGAAACTCAAAGCCTAAATTTGTTTTGTTAAAGTTTCATACTATTAAAATAAATGTAAGGTTTTTCTATTTTCTGTAAGAATTATAAAATACCAAAAAAGTAGATGAGGGAGGTACTCCTTTATATTAGTGAAATAAGCAGAAGAAGCAGTTTACATTGCTTTTTCAGGTAATATATTCCTATTTATATCTTGTGTATTCAAATAGGAGAGTTATGGAGGGAGGGGGTGAATCTTCAAAATCTAATGTTGCTATAACAACTTTGAAAATTTGATCTATTTAGGCCATGCCATTCTTACGAAAGAAATGTGATGTAATGATTTAGAATTCTTATTTAATGTTGTATGTAAATTTAAATATTTATAGGCAGTTCTGCAGAAATGAGACATGTCACCCTATTGACCCATTATAAATACTCATTTGGAGTCTTTTGATATAGGTAATTTTTTAAAAAATTGTTTCTAAAGCTGGCAATTTGTAGGATTGCATGTGTACATCAACATTTTCAACAAATGTCATTTAAGATAAAAGATACTAACTGAAAAACATATGAGTTGGGGAAGGGTGTGTGGAGAGAGTGATCGTTTACACACTAACCCTTCAAATTAAAACTTAACCAATACTTATGTCAACCAGGCTTTTCAAAGTCAATTTACAGGATCTTCACTATACTCCAGATTGGACATCCAGACTATGGACTCCTCAAAGCCAGCGAGATGGCTCTCTTGTTCATCTGCAATCTGATGTATCCAGAGGCTAAATGTATATTCAACATAATTGGTTATCTAACCTTTGTTGCTGTATTTGCTTGTGTAACGACCTGGTACTTTGCATGTACAATTGTACACCTAAACAAGGTCACAGTTAAGCACACAACTGAGCCTGCACAGTTATTTAGTATTTGAATTTTAGTAGTTCTCACAATGGTGATAGGTGCTTTCCAAACATACAAGATGTAAACCCTTCCCCAGAGAGCTAACCTTCTAAGAATACAAGTAATTTACAGAATTCAGGGGAGAAGGATAAAGCATATATTCAATTTATAAAAACAATAGGCATTACAATCATCACTACCCTTTATTGCCATTTGTATTAGGTTTTAAATTGGTCTTATGAGCGTATTTTTATATGCACACTTAAAGTGAATGTTTTGGGGGGGTTTATTCTTGGGCTAAAGTTGCAAACTTCTATTGTCTGATTGTGGCTTTTTATGTTTTTTAACTGTAGATAAGCACAATGGAACATGAGCATTCAGTGAAGGAGCATGGGTTTGAGGTTCGACTGAAAGAGATGGAAGTCACTAATCGAAATTCCACTGTTCAACTGAGACATCTGTTGGTGGCTCAGCAAAAAGCAACGAACCGGTGGAAGGAAGAAACAAAGAAGCTTACAGAAACTACAGAAACCAGGCTCTGTAATCTGAAGTAAGTGCAATCAGTCTTTTTCTTTTACACTTTTTATTAGTTTAACTCTTAGGTTTTGGTTATCATGGTCATAATCATGAAACTGTACTTGTGGTGGGGAAAAAAGATAGTGAGTAAATAGTTCAGGCCAGAAGAGATGTTGCAGTCTCAATGAATAAACAAGAGATGCTGCAAAAAGAATTGTTAGTTTCTGCTTTCCTTTCTCAGTTGCACTTAGCAGGCTAATTGCAGAAATGAAGGCTTTGTACCTTGCCAAAAAGACAACACTACTTGTGTGTTTTTGACATTTTGTAATGGCAAAAAAGTAGTTACAATGTCACTTTATTTTAATAGTGTTTTTCAAGTAAACTTTACTCATTTTAGAAAACTTAACTTTGGTTTATGAAAACCCTTATATTTACAGTTCTTCAAGGTACCGCGTCTGTATATTCACAGTTGTGGGACGAATCATGGAATTTCAGGAACATTCTGAAAACATTGCCTGTTGGAGCTGCATGAGTACTCTCTTATGACACCAGAACCTCTTAGATGAGGTTATAAAAGAGCCATATGACCTTTGTCCTCTCAGTTCCTTTCTTTCTTGGCTAGATTTTGTTATTAGGGACCTTTCTCCATATTAAGAGCAACTTTTATTGTTAAACAGTATTCCAGTTGGTGGTGTTGCCTAGTTTTCATTATTACAATCCGTTTTTGTCTGGACCAGGGTCCTGGAGTCTCTTTGGCCATAGACAATCTCTGGGTACTTCTCCACCATTTTGGCTTACGCAGGATCTTCAATACCATCACTGGAGTGTATGGTTATACCTCTAAGGGTATGTCTACACTGCAATTAAACACCTTCAGCTGGCCGACGTAACCTGGCTTGAGTTCACAGGGCTCAAGCTAAAGGACTGGTTAATTGTGGAGTAGGCATTTGGGCTTGGGCTGGAGCCCAGGCTCTGGAACCTCACGAGGGAAGAGGGTCCCAGAGCTCGGACTCCAGCTTGAGCTCAAACTGCAATTAAACTGCCTCTTAGCCTGAGCCCCACAAGCCTGGGCCAGCCACATTGTTTAATTGCAATGTAGACATACCCTGTGTGCACATTCTTCTGGGGAAAGCTCTCTTAGTCCAGTGTTCTTGGAACTGAGTGTTAGGGATGAGTCTCCATTTAGGCTTCATTTCCTCCAGATGTTCTTCTTTGACTCATCAACACGAGAGTTGGGCTGAAAGGCTCATTGGTGCATACCTCAAAGCAAGAGTGCTTTAACGTCCCAGGGCACTCATTCTCTTTCAGGCAGTCTTTCCTTGGTCTTCCTTTAGTCCACAGACTCTCTCTCCTTATTGGCAGGGTCTCCTAAACCTAGCAACCAAATGTAGCATGAGAAGAAAATGACATCTCTCCTGTATATAGTGGTTTCTGAAGTTGTGAAAATAGCAGCTCTGCTGTTCTATTTCTTCTCATTGGTATATATTAAATAGTTCTTCGTAAAGTGCTGTCCCTGTTGGTGCTCCACTTTAGGTGTTCATGCGCCCCTGAGCTCATAGAGACTTTTAGTAGCAGTGCTGGTTGGGTCGCATATGCGTGGTCCCTGCCTTGCGCTGCTGCAGGCAGTTAACCGACGCTGTGCGACCAACCCCCACTCAGTTCCTTCTCTATCGCCCTTGGCTAGGAGTCAGAGCAATCAGCAGCGCCTCGCTACTTTGTAGTTAATTAGTTACAGTCAATTACTTAGTTTCCTTATTAGCAGCTACTTAGCTTGTTTCCCTTTCCTTTTCCCCTTCGTTTAAAAGAAAAAAAAATTGTCCTTCACATGAATGAGGCACTGATGGATCCTGTAAGGGTCATTCTGTGGACCCCCGTGGCTGCCCCTCCAGCTGGCGGAAGGTCTGACAGGAGGTGTGTACCAACAAAGGGTGTCGACTTTGCATCCAGTGCCTAATTTCTTGGTGATAGACGCAGTCCAGTGATGTGGCATGCAACAACAGCCCTGAAACACAACTCATGATAAGGACTGGAAAAGACTTGATCAGTTTTGGCAATAAGTCTTACTCCTTGGCTACCCCTTACCTCTGCATAGCCAACTATCATTACTAACAAAATACAACTATACAAACTACACAAAAATGTCAGAATTGATTAATTTTATTGCCAAGGACAAGGGAGAACAATTCACAGCACTTGATTCTGAGGACAGGGCTGCAACATCTGTGTCGACGGTGGTTGTAATGAGAAGTTCATGGCTCTATCTTTCTGGCTTCCCTGAGGAGGTGCATTTCACAGTGGAAGACTTGCTAGCGCAAATTATCCGCCAAAAAGACAGACAACTCACTCACAGACTCACGAGTGACTCTCCGATCCTTGGGAACCTATAACCCCAAACCGAAGAGGAAACAGAGGAATTACTTTACATCCCAATGATACCACCGGCCAATGTATTCACAACAACAGCGGTGATTTGACTCACAGGCTTGCAGACACAGGCCCTGGGGGGACAACAATCTACTTCTCAAGTTGCTGCATCCCAACCATCAACTTCCCCTAACAAGAACTCTGGTGGATGGAGACCAATGCTCGACCTCCAATAATTCAACAAGTTCATCAGAAACACAACAATTCAAGATGGTCACACTATACACTATAAGTGACTGCCTGCTAAAAGCATCAACCCAGCAGACAGCATTGCAAGCCACTGAAGAAGTGGTAACCCTCTTCACGAATCTGGCCTTCCTAATAAATACCAACCAGCCCACTCTAACAACACTGCAAGAGCTGGACTTCATTGAGGCCCAACTCAACTCTATCGAGGCTATAGCCTCACTACCAAGACACGAGCCTCATACCCACTGCGTGAAATAGCCCACAGATATCTGCCAGGACTTGCCCCCAACTCCTTGACCACATGGCAGCCACAACATTTGCTGTCAGACACACCAGATTAAACATCCGTTGCCTACAAGCAAGGCTACGTATCAACTTTGTTCCACACAGACACAGCATAAACAAGCACCCCACGATATCGAACAAAATAAAGGACCCCCTTCTCTGGTGGGCAAAACTGACCAACATATGCAGACCACAAATGCCTCACTCCTGGGATGCAGAGCACACCTGCACCCACATTCTATATAGGGCTGCTGGTCCCCTGTGGAATCCCTTCAACATATAGACCTATTGGAACTTCAAGCTGTCCACAACGCTTGCTCCCAGTTCCTGCTACTCATCAAGGACAAGGCTATTTGAAGCCTTAGCTTGTACATATTATATATGCAGACATGGGGGAGCACACTCACAGTACCTCTGTGTGCAAGCCATAAAACCCCGACAATGGTGCATCAGACACAATATCCACACCACCACAGCAGATACCCTCAACGGACAAATTTCTCAGGACCATGACGGGAGCTCGACAACACAGTACTCCTGCGTGTATTTCAACACGGGGGGTTCCCCTCGGTAGACCTTTTATTAACTGCACAAAATACCAAACACCCTCATTTTTTTTCCGGTGCAGGTCTCGGTGTGCAGTCGGTAGGCGATGCATTCCTCCTCGAGTGGAACGCTTCCCTTCTCTATGCCTTCCCTCCTATTCCTCTCTTGAACCGAGTGATCCACAAGATCAGGCCGGATGGGCCACAGTAATTCTACTATCATGGTCTCGCCAAACCATGGTATCCTTGCCCCCTCAGCATGACCGTGCATTCATGAATTGCACTCCCACTTCTGTCTCATCCGGTGTCCCAGGACTCAGGCTGTGTCCTGCATCCACAGAAACTTCATCTCAGAGCATGGCTCCTCCATGGTTCATGGAACCTGAGCTTACCTGTTCAGAGGAGGTACAAAATATAGTTACACACAAATAAACAGAAACAGAAATGAACTGTCGCCCATACACCCTGAAGGGGAGACGAGTAAGTCCTGGTGCCAACTAAAACGGATGACTTCCATTCCAGGGACATTACCCTTTATACTGCGTTACCTATTAGAACTCAAACAGTCAGACCTATCCATGAGCTCAATAAAGGTCCATCTACCTACCATCACAACATTGAACTACGTGAGCCTACCACACCATGGGACCCGAACCTGGTCCTTTGAATCATCACCTCTTCCCCATGTGAACCCATCACAGCTTCACTGTTCTATGAAAGTAGCATTTCTTGTGGCAATGACATCTGTCAGATGTGTGGGAGCACTGTGGGCTTTCATGGCGGAACCCCCATACATGGTCTTCTTTGAGGATAAAGCCTCCCTCAGACCACACCCCTAAACCCCACACAGAACACATTACACACTCCATAATTTTGATGTTTGGAGGACATTGGCTTCTTACATAGACAGGACTAAACCATCCCATAAATCACCCAGACTGTTTCTATCCATCACTGAATGCTCCAAAAGGAGTACCATCTCTAAACAAAGACTTTCCATGTAGATCCATAATCGCACAAAACTCTATCATCAGTGCAACTGCCAATCCCTCACAGGGATTCGCTCACATCCCACTAAGCCTTATCAGCCTCCCCGGCTTCCCTGCACAATGTACCTATCACGGACATTTGTAGAGTTGCTGCCTGGGCCTTAGCCCATACCTTTAGACAGCACTATGCCTTAGAACAACAGGCAACATCTGATACCTCCTTTGGATGCTCTCTACTGTTGGAGGTCACAACTTCAACTCCGAAGCCCCTCCTTCCGTCGGAGGGCACTGCTCTGAAGTCACCTAAAGTGGAGCACCCAAAGGGACAGCACTCGAAGAAGAAGAGAAGGTTACTCACCTTGTGCAGTAACTGAGGTTCTTCAAGATGTGTGTCCCTGTGGGTGCTCCACTACCCTCCCTCCTCCCTTCTACTTCAGTTTCCTTATTAGTCTCTGCAGTAGAGAAGGAACTGAGTGGGGGTTGGTCGCACAGCATCGGATAACTGCCTGCAGCAGCCCGAGACAGGGACCACGCATGTGCGACCCAACCGGCACTGCTACTAAAAGTCTCCGACTAGGAGCGCAGGGGCGCATGAACACCTAACGTGGAGCACCCTCAGGGACACACATCTCGAAGAACTCAGTTACTGCACAAGGTGAGTAACCTCTTCTTTGAGTGATGATCCCTATGTGTATTCCAAATACGGGCATGTGTGCGTACCGTGCGCCTGAGTTCAGAGATATTTAGCAAACAGTGTCCATTGGTCTGCACATACATGTGCTCTGAACTGAGGGTATAACGGAAAGTGCACACCGGCACCTTTCTAGTTCCTTCTTCTACTTCATGGCCTGAGTCAGAATATTCTGTGTCCACAGCTTCTTCCTTTGACTGCTTCCATCTGTAAATATATTGTAAATAGTTTTATTTTTTTACTCTTTTAGTCTTGAGTACTGGCATAGTTCGTTATTTTCCATGGGAGGATAGGCTTATGCCTAGAGTCCTGGGATTCAAGCATTGCATTTCCTGCCCCCTCTCCTTTTCAGTGAGTGACAAACACCAGTGCTGCCTTTATTGTCTACCCAAGGCTCACATCTCGGCTAAGTGCAGTATTTGCCGCTCCTTCCCTCCCAGAACTTGAGGGTTGAGAGCTAAGACATAAAATATTTGATGGAGGAGGACATGAGACCCCAATCGGATCTGGGCCAGGGAGTCCCCTGATATATTGGCCTCAGTCAAAGGGTAGTGCCCCTCCGAGCATGAGCTCAGAAGTCGAGACTAAGACTTGCAAACCTAAGGAGAAGATTTCTCATGAGAGTAAAGGGCACTCTCCCAAGCTCTTTTTCCAAAGCTGCCCCAAAGAAAAGAGATTCTCCCTGACTTCTTCAAAGTTGGGAGAAACCTTCTCAGCAGGAAAAAGTGGTAAAAAGGCGCATGGATCTGTCAGCTCTGGTACCGGTTCCGACATGCAAACCAAAAGAGACACATCCACTGCCACTCCCTTTGACATAGAGATTACACTTTGGGCTAATATTGTCATGGCCCCAGACAGATCAGTCTTCCACTGTGACCAGGGAAGCACCAGATCCAACAGCTCTACCAATTGACCTACCTCATACCCTGGGGCAATCTGAGAACTACAGATGACATTTTTACTCTTCCCTATCCTCCTTTCCCTTCCTCTCATTTGTCTTTATTCAAAGACATAGTTACTCTGGAGGAGGAAGCTATTCCAAGGCCATGGAGCTGCTCTCCTCTCCCACCCGCAAGCCTCAGTACCCTACCGGATCCGCCGGTAGTCGGGATCCAGGTTTTTTATCCAGTGAGTCAGTCTCTCCAGAAGAGCCTCTACCCTCTCAGAGAAAGAGCCCTAGACAAAAGCCCTAAGAGATCAGAGTTCCATCCTCTTACAAAATATAACTTTCCAAGAGACAGGTGGTACCCTGTCAAGAGGTCCTTGTCATACAGGCTGTATTGGATCCCTTAGGATTCTTATGCTAGGCACCCAGGATCAGAACATGAACCTTACTTACCATGTCCTTGCCAAGACCAGCCAGCCTCGTTGGAGTATACAGAAGATGAAGATGAACCAGATCCATTGGTTCTGGGAGTGGTTTCATCCTCTTTCCCAAATGAGGCTGTTACCCCATCTTTGCCAGCGCCGGCTGATGGCTACAGGCAACATCAGGATACCTACAAAGGATGGTATTTGAGCTCCAGATACAGCTTGAACTCCTAAGCTCTTCACCTCACACTTGAGTTCCTACGTATGTTAATGTAGATAAAAATGACAAGTGAATTGATCAGTTCAGCAAACAAACATATCGGACTGTCTCCATTTATCCCGGTCTTATTCTTCAGCTTGTGGTGTTTTCATCCCCAAAGACACGTGGCATGTTTTTTTTTTAATATTTAAAGTTAATAGACAAGTAGAGAATGTTTGAATAGTGCTCTTTAGTTATTGCGTATTAGTGTGTGCAGTCAATCCTAATAACACAGACAAAACAAAATATACTAGGCAGTGTTTTCAATGTGGATAAAGTGCATTCATTTTTCACATCAGCAAAAGAATTGGTTTGTATGCATGTACACTAATATGAGAAAGTTAATATGTCATTTTTATAGCTATATTTCTTTTCTGAAATACAAGATGTACTCAAGTTTACACATATGCTAATGTGATTCCTTATCAGGAAGACAAAAAAAATTCAAATGTAAATTTAAAAAAAGGAAAGATTTTTGCTCTTACGGGTATTGTGAAATTTAAAACATTTTCATGTAACAGGTCATTAAAAAGGAAACATTAAAAGTTCACAAGCTTGGTTTTTTAAACTTCGGATTAACCGATAGACTTGTCACATATAATTATTTTTAACAGATTACATGTCCTAAAATGAACCATAATGCTCCTGATGTTCTCCTTGTAGTAGATAACTGGTGAATTTTTTTGAAGCATAACTTTTATTTGTAAATATCATTCAACCTTTTCTAGCTGTCAGAAACAGAATGCTCTTAGTCTGAGTTGGAGCTGAGCCCAGGTCTCCAACTAGAACAGGGAAAATAACCTCTGAAGTTTGTGTCCTACAATAACTATACATTGTTGCTAACATACATACTGTGCTTTCTTCTCTAGAACGAGAAATAAAAACTTGTCTTCATGTAAATGCCACTAGTTTGTGTAAAGTACAGTAAAGCCATCTCTGACCCACATTAACACTGGCAACGTTTGGCAGCATAACTCTGTTCCAAAGCTATTTCTGTTTAACCTGAGCTAAGTTAACTTTTTCCTGCTGTACTTAGCAGGAATTGTATCTGAGATAGCTGGGAATAGAGAAGGCTTTGGAGACTGGCCAATAGGCTAATGAGAGGATGGAACAAGACACACTAAAAATGTACTTATTAGTATTTATTGTGTTTCAGGGCTTTAGCTATGTAGTGAACGACCAAGAGTATCATAGACAATAGAAACTGAAAAGACATTTATATTTTAGTCCTCATTCTCCACTGTCCTGCACCTGAGCAGTTATTTACACCCTACAGAGTGGGTTAGATTTTTCTCTCTTATCTTTGTTATAATAATCTTAATGGGTAAAATATTTTAAATAGCAGTGCGATTCTTTTTTTCCCTCTTAGATGACATTGTCTCTTTATGCATCTAGGATGTGTGTTTTAAAAATACGTTACTGTGACTTTAAACTTCAGTGAAATTTGAATTTTTCAGAAGCATCCTGCTTAAATGGTGGGCATAGTTTTAATTGAAGATGTTCACCACTTAACGTTAATTATTATCTTCCATGAGTGTGGCTGATCATCTTGGTCTTCTCCAGTTTAAACCACTGTCGAAACTCCCATTGACTTGAACTGAAGCAAGATTGTGCCCCTTATTTATTACATATTAATGGTATGAAACATCATCACATAGCCAGATTTACAACACTGAATTTTAAATTTCATTTTACATGACCTGTTAATGAGAACAGATACTTCTAGAGAGTTGCTAAAGTTTAGGAAATGAAGCAACTTCCACAATCTGTATAGAAGACTTGCTGTGATTCTTGAGAGATTAAAATTGTTGCTAATGCTACAATTACAGGATTTTGTGTTGCCAAAAACTTTTCACATAGATTTAGCTCTCCAGAGATGGCCGAGGTTATCAAATAGTTTGATTTTTAGGATAGCTATCCAGGGGTAAGCTTTATGTATTCTTAAACCCACCATATACAGTATTTTGCAAAGATTTCAAATTTTTTCTTAGAGGAAGAGAATCTTGTTTCACTTCTTCAGAAAGAAACCATCAAAACACACAGCTCTTACGTGAGGTGTAATGAACAATACATCTCGTCTTCCAAGTTTATATGCATTAACTTATTTGTACAGCTGACTTGTGTAGTTAGTTGACTCTTGCTGATACTTTCCATCATCTATTGTAAATATTTGAGTAGTGGAGAAAACTTGTTTTGTAGTGTTTTACAGAAAGATAATTTTAAACAATTGCATTTGTGTGAATAAACGAATGTAATCTGGCATTTACTCTCTGTAAATGCACATTGTATCATTTGAACATTAGCTATTCAGTCAGCTAAAGCAACATGTGAGCTGAAAGAGACGGGGGGGGACATCCAAGAACAAAGAAAGTAATCAAAATGTTTTTCTCAGTCCAGCATCATGGGTCATCCTGGCTGATGTTGGACTTTATTGTACAGTTTCCTGTTTAAGAAAAAAAAATTAAAGCATTCTGGGAAGAGTGAAATTATCTGTGGAAATAGCCACTTTCCCTTTCAAAGTTATGTGTAGGACAGAAATGTTAAAACATTACTGTAATGGGTCAGAATCTTCAGTCTTTGATTTAGCTTCATCAAACTGCTGACATTGGGATATAACAAACAGTTTGTCATATCTGTTGTGGTCTTTGAACCTTCATGAAAAATATGAATCCCATTTTGAAAATGTTCCTGTTTATATGTGAGAGATTGTCCTTGTGGTGTCATCTGGTGATGTCCTGCAAAGATTTAACATGCTATTTACTAGTATAATAGCTATTTCATCAAACAGTACTGCCTTAATGATCAGAAAAGGGAAAAAAAACCCAATTCTTTCCATATTAAAAGATGTAAATCTATACACAAGCCATGTGAAGTACCTCTGTCGCTGTAGCAGATATTCTGCACTAAGTCTGACAGCAAGTAGTGTCATCTTTTGGAGGTGACTTCATAGTTAGTGCTTATAAATATATAATATAAGCCAGTGGTCCCCAACCTTTCGTCGAGCAGGCGCCAGACCACGAGCCACGGAGGACCGTGGCGGCGGATGAGCATTCACCGAAATGCTGCCGACAAGCGGCAATGTCAATAGGCGTCGCCGCCGAAATGCTGCCGATAAGCAGTGTCATCCAGAGGTGTTGCCACTGAAAATCTGCATTTTGGCAGATGCTTGTCCGCTGGCCAGTACGCGGGCGCACTTAGATGCGTTGGGGACCCCTGATACAAGCCCTCCTCTGAAAATGAAGGTAAAAGAATCAGTTTGTCCACCATGATCTATATACAGTAAAAATGGAAACTAATTAATTCTTTGCCCCACCTCCTTCCCCCCAAAGAAGTTTGACTTTGATATAGTGTGATTCCTCAGTAAATCTATATTCTGTGTGATTGGTGCTCTGATACTACATTGACAAGAACCTTAAAAATACCCATAAATAAAATAAATTGTACCTATTTTTTGTATTTTAGACACTCTGTGCGCTACCATACCAAGGCATGTAGTATGAAATGCAATTTATATGAAAATTTAATTACACTATTTATAGACTCATAGACCCATAGACTTTAAGCTCAGAAGGGACCATCATGATCATCTAGTCTGATCTCTGACCACCCATCCTGTAATAGACCCATAACCTCTGGCTGAGTTTCTGAAGTCCTCAAATCGTGATTTAAAGACTTGAAGTCTTTAAATGGCAGAGAATTTGCCATTTACACTAGTTTAAACCGGGAAGTGATCTGTGCCTGGATATCTGTGATAGCTACAGCAAGGTTTAAGAATCTGAAGTGCCTTTCAACCACCAAAAAAGAAAATCAACCTTCTGCTGATGTCATCTGACTCAGATCATGAAAATGAACAGGCGTCGGTCCGCACTGCTGTGGATTGTTATCGAGCAGAACCCATCCTCAGCATGAACACATGCCCCTAGAATGGTGGTTGAAGCATGAAAGGACATATCAATCTTTAGCGCATCTAGCACGTAAATATCTTGCGACGCTGGCTACAACAGTACCATGAGAACACCTGTTCTCACTTTCAGGTGACATTGTGAACAAGAAGCAGGCAGCATTATCTCCTTCAAATGTAAACAAACTTGATTGAGCGATTGGCTGAATAAGAAGTAGGACTGAGTGGACTTTCAGGCTCTAAAATTTTACATTGTTTTATTTTTGAATGCAGTTTTTTGTACATAATTCTACATTTGTAGGATAAAGAAATTGCCCTACAGTACTTGTATTAGGTGAATTGAAAAATACTATTTCTTCTGTTTTTTGCAGTGCAAATACTTGTAATCAAAAATAAATATAAAGTGAGCACTATACACTTTGTATTTTATGTTGTAATTGAAATCAATATATTTGAAAATGTAGAAAACATCTCACTACTCACCAAAAGCAAATCTAAGATGGCATCATCTCGTGTTGGTTCAACAGCTACTTGGTGAAAAAATCTGTCCGCTATCTCATCCAGAAAATCTGGACCCTATCATTATTAGTAGCATTTGTCCTCAAATCTGTATCGGGAAATTAAAGCTTCCCATAATCACATATTTCCCAGTAATATTTATTTCATTAAAAAAATTAAAGAGCTCTCTCTGTCTCCATTTAATTCTGTGGGGGTCTGTAGTTAGGGTGACCAGACAGCAAGTATGAAAAATCAGGACAG